CAGATGGTGTGAGTCTTCTGTTTTGGATGGTAACTTCTGTTGTTTCTAGCTGATGTAATTCTTAAAGAAGATGTGGAATTGCTCCTTCTTTTCAGCTTGAAGAGTGCTTAGTCCTGCTGGACATAATCAGCTATGGAATTTATGCACCAGGTAAAATAGTGCCTTGGTGACAGCCATTAAATTCTTCCAACATAACTGTTTTCTCTTTCTTAGTTCCTTTTCTTTATATACAAATTAAAAAAGGTCCTGAAGCACATTTTGTTTAAAACTGTGCCAGAGACCCTAAGGTGTCTCTAATCTACAGATAGAAAACTGTTTCCATATAGCTTTTTAATGTGCTGCCTCTGATACAACGTTCCTGTATTGCCACATCTTGTAAAATTCTGCCTGTAGTTGCATAGTTTCGTCAGAACTAGCTGATTTCTTCTTTAGTTTTCACTGGCCTCCAAATATACGTAAACTACAGTACAAGTTAGCGCAGTCAGTCTGTTGCAGTTTGCACTGCTGCTTCTTAGCAAACGTCACTGGGAGTTGGGCTCTGGGAGTAGCTGAGGCGATAAAGCCACTGGCAGCTTGCAGCCTGACTTTTTTTTTTTTTTTTTTTTTTTTTTTGGTAGTGAAGGAAGCCTACTCGTATTGCCACAAAGAAAGAAACCAAACTTCCTTACTTTTGAATCACTTATACTCATGAAAGGGAAGCATGTTACCTGCACTGAAAACCAACCAGCAGAGGTTGCCATTGATTTTTCTGTTGCCTCTTACCTGCTTAGCAGTATCTGGATTTCTTGTACAAGACCTGAAATATTTGGCTGACGCCAGTGCTTGTTACCAGAGCTCGGTCCCCTGAGCACACAGTAATAGGCGCTGCAGTTTTGTACCTCGGCTGGATCTGACCTGTGAGCAAGGTGACTCAGTGGTCACCGTAACATCTGGAAGCTTTAGTGGTTGCCAATATTCAAATCTGCACCGAGCAGAACGCACTGAGCATGTCGTTTCTGTGGTCCACTTAGTTTTAGGCTTTACCTTGGCTTATCTAACGTGCCTTCGTGTCTTTGAGGCTTTCTGACATCCATTTTAAGATGTTTTGGCCCTTTGTTTCTCTGGTGCCTGCCACCAACGGGCTCAGGGAGGGGAGGGAGAAGTCCTGGTTGCTGCCATGCCTGTGCACCCCGTTGTTTGTTCTCCTCCTCCTCCTCCCCACAGGAGGAGTGGGAAGAGGAGGAATAAAAATTGCTTCCTATTGTTCCGCCCGTGGTATGGATAGCTATGGCTTAAAGCTGCACTCGGGGACTAAATTTAGTCATTAAATCTCTTGTCGCAGCCATTTACAGGTCTGAGGTATCGGAGCGATTTTAATTTTTTCTTAAATCCTTCGATGGAAGAACTTGGAATTATCACACGCCGTTATTGCAAACCGCTCTCACGCTGCTGCGTTTTATGCTGCTTCACATTTCTACAGAGTTGTCGTTCAGCCTTGAATATTTGCTCCAGGCTATACTCAAGATACAAGATGTTAACCCAGGAGCAGCTTATTGAAATTTTGCCAGTGGTTTGCCTTGGAACTAAAAGAATTTAAATCACTGTAGTTTTTAATGACTTAGTTTGTTAAAGCCTCCGATACCATTCTTGACACACGTATTTTGCTGATCTATAGCCCAAAATGCTGTTTCGGGGTTGGTATTTTGGTATCTAAATTTGCTGCTTCTCTCCGTGTCTAAGGATGTATGGAGTGTCTATGCAAGATAACTTCGATGATTGTACTTCTGCTAATGGTTTTATTTTTAGGAAGCATGAAGTAAACAAAAGTTGTGAGTCCTTAATCAGGGAATAACAGCATCCATTTGCATGAATAGAGAGATCAGTTAATTGGGTTAATAAGTCCGTGCTTTGAGAAATAACGTTACTCACAAGTATTCGTATTAAAACCGATGTTTGCAATCGGCTGGAGCAATTAAAAATTGGTACAGTATTGAAACCGGTTGCAGATGAGTTTTAAAATAAATCTGCCTTAACTATGAAAATAATTAATTTTTAGGGGACTGTAATTTTGTCTTTTAAGCAGGACAAAATTTGTGTCAAACCGTGGCAAATATACATTGTCTGTCAATGTTTAGCATCGTAAAATAAGAGATGCATTGTGAAATTAGTAATCTGAGAATAACTCTTAATAAACATTTTTAGTCAGGCAGTGATGGCGGTTTCTAAAATAACCTCCGCAAGTGCAGTCAGTTGGGTGGACCTGATTTACATGTTTGATTTGGGGGGGACGGACGGACGGAGGGACGGACGGACGCGCGTATCCTGGGGACTTGAAAGGCTGCTGCATTCAGCGCGGTTTGTCCGCACTGAGCCGGAGCGCAGCGGTCTGGACGAGCAGGTCGCAAGACTTCTGAACTCTGACCGAGCGACCCCCCCCGGCTGCTGCCACCCTGCAGCCGTCCCTCTGCCCGCCCGCCCCCCCCAGGGTGCCCGG